TAATATTACAGATTTGCCGTAATCACAAAAAATGAAGCAGCCGTGCTAAATTAGTGACTAGAAATGACTCATTAGTAAACAAAGGGTTCCTGCGTCAGGGCTGCCGGTGACGTCACGAGGCGGAGCAGGCGTGACCGTCACGATTGCTCACCACCGCCCGCGAGACCAACACACCTCTACCAATATATATGAATGTATGCACCTTAATGCTTAACTCTCGTGCATTAATCTTACATCTTCAGCGACAACCGAACACACACATACAAAGTTATGAAAATGATATAGCAAACAAAGCCAAGACCGAACCAAAGCTACTCCACAGTCACATCAGAAGGAAAACAACAATGAAAGAACAGGTTTTGAAACTTAGAACAGGCGAGGACAGGTATACAGAGAATGACAAAGAGGTGTGTGATGAACTCAACAAAAGGTTCCAAGAGGTCTTCACAATAGAACATGGTGAGGTCTCTGCTAGGAGAAAAGGAAGTAAACCAGGCGGCCTTGGAAGAGTTTGAAATTACGAGAGAGGTGGTCAAGAGACACCTGCTGGATCTGGATGTTAGAAAGGCTGTTGGTCCAGACGGGATCTCGCCATGGGTACTGAAAGAGTGTGCAGAGGTACTTTGCTTGCCACTCTCCATAGTGTATAGTAGGTCACTGGAGACGGGAGACCTACCAGAAATATGGAAGACGGCGAATGTGGTCCCAATATACAAAAAGGGCGACAGGCAAGAGGCACTGAACTACAGGCCAGTGTCCTTGACTTGTATACCATATAAGGTGATGGAGAAGATCGTAAGAAAAAACCTGGTAACACATCTGGAGAGAAGGGACTCCGTGACAAATCGCCAACATGGATTCAGGGAGGGTAAATTTTGCCTAACTGGCAAAATGCTTTTTTTGCCTGATTGGCAAAATACTGGCAAAATGATGGGCAAAATACTGGCAAAATGATAGGGTAGTTTGCCTGACTGGCTTAATAGAATTCTATGACCAGGTGACAAAGATTAAGCAAGAAAGTAAAGGCTGGGCGGACTGCATTTTCTTGGATTGTCGGAAAGCCTTTGACACAGTATCGCATAAGAGGCTGGTACATAAGCTGGAGAGACAGGCAGGTGTAGCTGAGAAGGTGCTCCAGTGGATACGGGAGTACCTGAGCAATAGGAAGCAGAGAGTTACGGTGAGGGGTGAGACCTCAGATTGGCGTAAAGTCACCAGTGGAGTCCCACAGGGCTCTGTACTCGGTCCTATTTTGTTTCTGATATATGTAAATGATCTCCCGGAGGGTATAGATTCATTTCTCTGTTGCAGATGATGCCAAAATTATGAGAAGGATTAAGACAGAGGAGGACTGCTTGAGGCTTCAAGAAGACCTAGATAAGCTGAAGGAATGGTCAAACAAATGGTTGTTAGAGTTTAACCCAAGCAAATGTAATGTTATGAAGAAAGGTGTAGGGAGCAGGAGGCCAGATACAAGGTACCATCTGGGAGATGAAATACTTCAAGAGTCAGAGAAAGAAAAAGACTTGGGGGTTGATATCATGCCAGACCTGTCTCCTGCAGCCCATATCAAGAGGATAACATCAGCGGCATATGCCAGGCTGGCCAACATAAGAATGGCATTCAGAAACTTGTGTAAGGAATCATTCAGAACTTTGTATACCACATATGTTAGGCCAATCCTGGAGTATGCAGCCCCAGCATGTAGTCCATATCTAGTCAAGGATAAGACCAAACTGCAAAAGGTTCAAAGGTTTGCCACCAGACTAGTACTCGAGCTGAGAAGTATGAGCTACGAGGAGAGACTACGGGAATTTAACCTCACTTCGCTGGAAGACAGAAGAGTTAGGGGGGACATGATCACCACATTCAAGATTCTCAAGGGAATTGATAGGGTAGATAAGGACAGACTATTTAACACAAGGGGCACACGCACTAGGGGACACAGGTGGAAATTGAGTGCCCAAATGAGCCATAGAGATGTTAGAAAGAATTGTTTCAGTGTCAGAGTAGTAGACAAATGGAATGCATTAGGAAGTGATGTGGTGGAGGCTGACTCCATACACAGCTTTAAGTGTAAATATGATAGAGCCCAGTAGGCTCAGGAATCTGTACACCAGTTGATTGACAGTTGAGAGGCAGGACCAAAGAGCCAGAGCTCAACCCCCGCAAGCATAATTAGATAAGTACAATTAGGCGAGTACACATTGTATATCATTTAGTTTATTTGAGATTTATTTGACCTTTATTAGGGCAGAGTTTTGGAATAATGTACAGCTATAGGAGAAAATGTTTGTGTGTGTGTACTCACCGAGTTGTGTGTTTGCAGGGGTTGAGCTTAGGCTCTTTGGCCCTGCTTCTCAACTACAGTGCTGGATATCATTTACCTGGATTGATGCCATGTTGTTGATGTTTCCATGAACACAGTGCAAGTACTTGAGGAAATTCGGGTAATAAATTATACCTTACTGAGAACACATTGTACAGTGGCACCAGTGCCAGCACCACCAGCACCAGTGCCAGCACCACCAGCACCAGTGCCAGCACCACCAGCACCACCAGCACCATGCCAGCACCACCAGCACCACCAGCAACAGTGCCTGCACCACCAGCATTACCAGCACCAGTGCCAGCACCACCAGCTTCACCAGCACCAGTGCCAGCACCACCAGCAACAGTGCCTGCACCACCAGCATCAGTGCCTGCACCACCAGCATCAGTGCCTGCACCACCAGCAACAGTGTCTGCACCACCAGCATCAGTGCCTGCACCACCAGCACCAGTGCCAGCACCACCAGCAACAGTGCCTGCACCACCAGCATCAGTGCCAGCACCACCAGCATCAGTGCCTGCACCACCAGTGCCAGCACCACCAGTACCAGTGCCTGCACCACCAGCAACAGTGCCTGCACCACCAGCACCCCTACTAAACTCTAAACATTTTGAGTTATAAATTTTGTTGTCTGAATTTTGTGCATACAGTATTTCAAGTACCATATTGATGATTTTTTTTAACAGTAAACTAAATTGAAAATCTATATTCTAAATCTATTAAAATGAAGATCATATACTATTCTGGGAGTATAATAACACTTAATGAACAATTGGTGATATTTAATATTTTTGTAGATCTGAAATCTTAAATTTTCAATATTAAATTTTATCATTATTTTTAATTTTCTTGTTTTTCAAGTTACATTGATGATCATTTAGACAGTTGCAGTGTTTGCCTAGTAGATTATGCACAAAAAATTTGAAAGCGTTAGAACCAGTTTGAAAAATTTAACATATGGTACCATCGGGCTCTGTTGTATATATGCTATGCTCAGTTTAAAGGTTAAACTGACAGCACTACTGCCACTAAACCAACAGCAGCACCCAATCACTAAACCAACAGCAGCACCCAATCACTAAACCAACAGCAGCAACCCATCACTAAACCAACACCAACATCCCATCTCTAAACTAAAAGCAGCATCCCATCACTAAAACAGTAACAGCATCTCATCACCAAGCTAAAAGTTGCATCCCATCACTAAGATAAGAGCAGTGCCATCCCCAACACTGAACTGAGAGAAGCAGGAGTACCCCTACTAAATAGTCATTGTGTGTGTTAAGAGTCTTAAATATATGCAGGTATATAGTTCCCATTGCTGGGGAAGGTAAACTCATCAATATTTCCCTAGGCCAATAACTGACCTTCCACACCATGCAACCTTCATCATCTGCCAAACCCCTGGGTACCTATTTAATGTTAAGTGAATAGTGGCATCTAATCGGGTGTAATTAAATATGGCCAAATGTCTTGCCATGCCCAAAAATCAAACTAAGGTCCTGTGTGTTGTCAGCTGACTGTGCTAACCACTGCACCAATATGTAATGAAAAATGTCAACAAAGGATAGTAAACGATGCTTACTGAAGCTCAAACCGAGTAGGGGTGAGGGGCAAGAGACAATTCTCAGGTTCATATACAGCATAAGGTCACTTCTGTTGCTGATTGCCTCGGTTGATTTATGCCCTCCAAAAAATATGTCTATGAATGCTCATACATAATGCTGGAATACGTAAACAAGCAAAGATACAAATTATCAGTAATGCAAAAAAAATTACTCGCCAAGACAAAAAAAATGTTTCTCCACAGGGCTTTTGAAACTTGGTCTACATGTTTTTTAACCTTGTTAAGCTTTGAAGCAACACGTGCTATAATTTGACCCCCCTTTTCTTGGCTTTCCATGAGATCTTGCTTATTTCATAACTTATGCATCAAGTTTTCAATAAATGATGCCCCCAATCAAAAAGGCATTAATTCAGTGCAAACATTTTAGCAGAATGACAGCTAGGCCAAGAGACAATATATGCAGACAGACAGAAATGCAAACTATCTATAGCCGAGACTTCTTACTCCTTCCCAAGGGCCCCGCATTAAGGGGTGGCCACATCAGAAGTTCCTCCCAGAAGCTCAATTAATGCACAAACCTTTCACACTTTTAAGCTCTCTAACCCCCTCCCTGCCCCCCTATCTTTCATGCATTGTTTCATTCTTCCCTACCAAATTAATGGTCATCTTATTCTACCATATGATGATGTTATTTCATTCAAGTCCAATATTCTCATTAAATGATTCTTCAACATTCTTCTAAGACATTCATACCATCTCATTGTATTGTGCCTAACCTACAAAACCTACTGAACAGCCTTGTTGATCAGACCAGCAATAAGGAGGCCTGGTCGGAGTCCGGGCCACAGGGACATTGATCCTCGGAATCATCACTAGGTAGTCAACAGGTAGGTAGACCCTTTTCACTCACAACTCGTATACTTCATCACTGTTATACCCACCTCACAAACTTACACCAGCTGCTTTTCTGAAAACACTAATTTCCCCCTCTTTGTATTTTTTGAACATACTACCTTTCTTCATACCTGAGGTTTCTATACTTGAGAAATGCACAGTTGAATGAAAAATAAAAATTTTAAATTAGGAACATAACAATGAAATTTAACACTCACCCTTCAGCTCAGTATTGCTGACCGCATACATGTTAATAGCCATGATCTGTAGTAAATGATTAGTTGAGAGTCTTGGAGGTGATGAGCGCAGCAACACACAGAATTCCTGCATCATGGTCACACAGCACTCACGAAATCCATCTAGCCCAACACGTGAAAACAGCATCCCATGGCAGTGAAGGTAGCTTGTGAGGAATCGCTTCATAAGCTGTGAAGTGAAACAATAATGAAACTGGTCATTTCTACACTAACACCGAAGACTCAGCACTAATACATCAGTGCTGTGTATTAGTACTAATGTACAGCTATAGTACTAATACATGTACTAATACTAGTAAATAAAATTTTAATACATTATGGGGCCTGTGGCTGAGTGGACAGCGCTTGGGACTCGTAATCCTATGGAGCGGGGTTCGATTCCCGGCGATGGCAGAAACAAATAGGCAGAGTTTCTTTCACCCTGATGCCCGTTACCTAGCAGTAAATAGGTATCTGGGAGTTAGACAGCTGTTACGGGCTGCTTCCTAGGGGTGTGTGTGTGTGTGTGTGAACTCAAGTCATCCATATCTTCAACTCAACTGCAAGTCCAGCTTCCACAGATGTCTCATCATCCTGCCTCTTTTTAATTTGTAAAATAGGCTTTCTTTGTCCACTTTATCTAATCCCCTTAAAATCTTGTATGTAGTTATCATATCTTCTCTATTTCATCTCTCCTTAAAGGTGAGTTCTCCCAACCTGTCCTTACAGCTAAGACCTCTTAATTCTACTATTAACAGTTGCAATCTTTTGAACTTCCTCCCTTACCCACCTTTATTACTGTATACTTATTTGGATTGAATTGCTGCAGTAATTTACCTACCCACCCCTGAAGGTGACAGTACCACTGTGACTCAGGTCACGACCACCTCTCACATACACTACCAACTTTTGAAAATGACACAATGAAACACAAGGGATAAATGAGAGGGAGCAGAGAGGGAGGGTGGGAACAGCAGAATACCTTGCTCAGAAAGTGGGTTTCTACAAGCTCAAAGCATGTTTTCTTGAGCTACATTCTGCTGCTCAATGAAAGTAGCTTCCTACAGATGCTCAAATATAAAAGAAAAAGTAGGGGGGCAGGATTTACCTTTAAGTGAGTGTAGAATGCATTTATAAATGCAGTCATGGCATTTATCACATAATACAACCAAGCAAGAACTTAAATGAAATCTACAATGCAGTACAGTATATAGTTTACAAACCTGCTCAAGTGGAATTTTTTTAAGTTCATTTTCCTCGTCTTTGCCCTCACCGTCGGTAGACTGGGAGAGAGTGCGTCTGTGTGTAGCACCACTGTCTGGTCGAATCCAAATTTCCTGTCTTAATCCCTCACAATGGTGAGCACGTCCCATATTTGTTTGCATGCCTTCGGTACGGGGTTCATTATGCTGTGCTGATATATACTGTCAAGTAACAATAAACTATGTAAATACAGTACAGTAGTAGGAAATAGCACATAATTAAAATATCATAATTAAAAAACCAGCATTGAATGTAATGAAACGCCATTTTCTGGGTGAGTCCCAGAATCTCCAATAGTCTCCGGAGGCTTCCCGGAGCTATCCATGCTGATATGGATATACAGTATTAGCTTTCTGGCATCAATGCGCATGGAGTTCTTGCCTACCGGGGACCACGCACCAGAAACTGGCCTCCTCAGAGAGGCAAAAGGAGGAATGGCCTATAGAAACCCCAGTGTGGTTGGGAGCATGCTATGTCTGCTATCAACCGGGTCTGGCACCCAGAAAGGCAGGTGCCCCAAAACACCCCCCTATTCTGTGAAATATTGCTATCGAAAGCTGAACGAGTGGACAGTAACTCCCAAATGAAAATTAGCAAATGAGCATGATGTCATTACACTGCTGCACCCCTGACTGCACAACCCCTCCTCTCCATGAGAGGGGAAAGGGGGGGATCCTCCGGGACTCACCCAGAAAATAGTTTCATTACATTCAACGCAGGTTTTCTGGGGGAGCCCAGTCGGCACCCCAGAGTTAACTATCCAAAGACAAGGAAAAACAGGGACTTACCCAGGCAGCGGTCAGTTCTCGCTCCTCAATGTGAAGGAAAGACATCTGGCTGCAACCGCCGAGCCAATGCAACGCAGGCCCTACTAGGTCCAGGGACACTGACAAGGTAGTGAGCAGCCAGGACCCTGTTCAACCTCCAAAAACCCACGTTACCAAAAACCCAATATGTCAACCCAAGACGTGTAGCCAAAGACGGCAGCCAAAGCAGCAAGCTTAAAAACGTCTGGGCATGAGGATAGAACGCAGGCTGGCTAGATTTAATAACCCTGCAGATGACCTGGGAGACTAGAACCCAGGAACAGGGAAGGAGGGAAACCGGGTCAACTCAAAGCGCATCCCCAGCCACCAAAGCCGTGGTACACAAATAACTATGGAGAGTCGCAACCAGACACAACACATGATGCACCCCTGGCCTGACCAAGCATCAACAACCCCAGGACCCCTCTGGAAAGCATTGGTCACAACGCCCCAGCCCAAAGACGATGCGTCCGTGAACACATCGAGTGAGGGTTCGGGTAGGCGCCAAGGCACTGAACCCCCCCCCCCAAAATGAAGAGGAACCTGGCGACGCAGCAATCGATGCAAAGCCCCCGGAAGACAAACCCAGCGGTCGCGAGAAATGCGGAAGGGACATCCCCGAAGGAACCAGAACAGCCAACGAAGCCATACCCGACCCAGCAGGTAGACCATCATGGCAAAGTTCAGGCTTCCACACAAACTCTTGAGCAACCACTGTGTAACCCAGGATCCCCTCAGGAACAGACGAAGGTGGGAACACAGGTGAAGCAGAGCCGCCGGAGGAAGAGACAAGGAAGCGGTCCGAGAGTCCCACACAAGATCCAGCCAAGACCGAACCTGAGAGGGAACCAGATGAGACTTCCACCAGTTCACGAAGAACCCGAACCTGGCGAGCTGGGAAAGGACCAAATCCCTGGTGAGCAGACATGCAGACTGGCTGGGAGCCCAAACCAGCCAGTCATCGAGGTAGGCCCGAATCCGAAAACCTAACAGAAACAGGCGGGCCACCACAACCCGAGTAAGGCTTATGAAAATGCAAGGCGCCAGATTCAAGTCGAATGGAAGGCAACTAAAGCGATAACCCTGACGCCCCACAACCGAGCCAGTTCCTGAACCTTGGATGAAACGGGACGTGCCAATACGCATCCTTGAGGTCCAGGGACACCGTCCAAAAGTCCGGCTCCAACAGAAGACAGTGAAGTACAGCTCCAACTGGGACAGAGTAGTTATCTGAAAGGAGGGGGCAATAAAGCCACGAGTTCAGACGGGACAAGTCCAGAATGAACCAGAGGTCCGCGCAGTCCCGTTTCGGGACCAAAAACAGGTGGGGAAACTATCCTGAGAGACGAGGTTGTTTTGGCCACGCCCAAGCAAACCCACTCCGAGATGACTCGACAGAGCACAGAAGAGGCCTGCACTCCAGCCTCGAAACCCCCAAAGGAGGAGGAGTCACCTAACACCACCACAGGCTTCATGAAACGATCCGAAAGGCCCACAAATCATGGGACCAGGTGCGAGCAAACAGAGAGAACCTCTCCCCCATTGCTCCGTCAATGGGACGAACCGCAAAAGGGCTGACACACCTTACGAGAACCTAAGTGGCACACAAGGCGATCCCCGTGCCAACCAGAAAAAGACCATTGCCACCCAAGACGAGTCAACAGTACACGGCACCACACGACGGTTCTGGAGCAACCCCGAAGAGAAAGATCAGACAACCCTATCAGAGACCGAAGAACCCTTCGCAGTGATAGGAAAACCGGAAGAACTGCCAGGAAACAACACACTGTCGTCAAGACAAAGCACACAGGTGGGAGACCAACAACGAAGCCACCAGTGCCCATACAAGTGATGAGAAACTCGAGACAAAAACTCAAGACGCGAAGACTCGAGGGAAAAAACGAATCAGCCTCGTACAGGGCTGGACCGATCCGCAAAAATGGCGGAGCCGCGGGAAGACACGCAGGATCGAAAACCGAGTAAAGCGGCGCCCACAACCAAGGCTGGCAAAGAACCAAAAGGAACCTGGAACCCAATCCCGGTGAGCCGGAAAGAACCAACCAGGCGAGCTGACATGCCCTGTCTGGGAAGAATCCCCCCCCCGAACCCCATAAGGACCAACAAGGCAAACACCGAAGAGCCAGGGCCCAGGCAGAGGCCAACGATTAAAACAAGCACCACGAACTAAAGCGCGATAAATGAAGCAAAAAACAACGACCCCGCAACCCAAAGGAGCAGCGCAACCAGCCACAGCAGGGAAGAACGACGCACGCATCTCCGAGGTATACATGAGGAGAACTACGAAGGACGTGTACTGCAGGAAAACAAAAACGTACGTCCTGGAAAAGGAACAAAGAAAAGCTGTAGCCAAGACCGGAATTCTAACTACCCCTGTCCCAAGAAAAGGAACCAGTAGGGCAGGATCGGATGACCGGAGGTCCACAACCACCCGCAAATATTGCAACACAGAAGACTGCAGTGAGATACAATGAAAAAGTGAAAGAACTCAGTACCAAAACACTGGGGAAGTCCAAAATCAGGGAACTGAACATGGACAGAGGCCTTACCCCAGCACTGAACATCAGTATAGCCCATAAGCACCAACCAAGATACACAGCCATGTGTAGCATAAAGGGAGGAAATGGAAATAGGCAAGGAAAAGACCCAAAATACGGACCAAGTAGCAGCCGGTAACGCAATGTACACGACCAACCACATTGTGTGTTGTGGTCGGTCGCACATACACAGAGGGACACCATGGATATAAGGGTGCAGCCAGGCACTGAAGATAGGCAAGGTAGGAGTGTCCAGAGATCAGAGACTGATTCAATGAATGAGGACACAGAAAGCACAGACCGAGGGAACGAAGGAGTGTCCAAATATCGAGAAAAGACCCAGGCATCGAGAAACTAAACAAAAAGCACCGAAATTCGGGGCTGCGTCCCACATTGCAACTAAGAACAAGACATATGGACAAAGTAAAATCACTGTAAGACACACGCAAAGTGACCAAGCAAAACACACAGCACCTAACACCTCACCAAAAAGCGAGAACCAGCACCTGGTGGACAGAGTCGCCAGACAGTACAATCTCACCTGCAGAACAGAGACACTACCATGTCACAACACAGCTGAGCAGTGCAATGTAACAGGAACATCCCTAGTGGGGAATGTCCAGGTGTGTGTGCCCAGTAGGAGAAGATGAGGAGCATGCAGTACAGAGGTGGAGGAGGTGCACTCAAAGCCGCCCCACACTCGCAAGCCGAGAAAAGAACTAGATCACTCCAAACATAACATCCAGAACACAGAGTAGCCAGGGGGTTATGACCGGAGACAAGAGGAGCGAGAACAGTGTAGAATCAGCGAGAAAGGATGCGGAACACCAACACATGTGTACACCGCCCAAAACAAAACAAACCCCCCACCCAACCCCTAGCACCAGAGGACCGCACCGCACACCCATCTGCCAGGGAGGGTGCCAGCAAGACGCATGGAATGAATAATAGGAAAGGTGAGACAGGAAGGAGAGACAAAGTGAAGACTAAATAATGTGAAAACAGAATCAAAAGAAGACAAGAAGCACGGAAGAGGACCAACGAGTCCGAAAAAGGACTAGAGGGAAGCCTCACCGGAAGTCAACAGACGTTCCAATAATATTGGAAGTATCAAAGAGTTCCGCGAACCAAGGAGAACCGTGAGAACCAAGCGCAAATGCACGGAAGCACATATGGCCCAAAGAGACCCCTGACCAAGGGACATGCAGGGATATTGATACAAAGGGAACATGTACGTGACATAATAGTGAAAAGGAGAGGAAAGGGGGAGAAAAGCACCCCAGGAATGACGGAATTGACGAACCCGAAGGGACATGGAACCGAACCCAGGGAGGGGTAGACCCGAAACCAACACGAACGCAGAGGGGGAAAGGAAAAATCCAACGCTGAGGAACTGCAAGCCCTGCTCCAAGGGTACAAAAACCCAAGTGGGGCAAACGGGGCCTAGGACCCCCAGGCAACCCCTCCCCAACCCTGGAAACCTCTACTGCAGGACCCAGGGCCGAGTTGTTCCCCAAAAGCCCCAGCCTCACAAGTAAAAGCCAGGGCAGCCGTACAAAATACTAAGGAAGAGAGCCCACTGGTCAGACCCATACGGCACAACTGGAGGAACAGGCTCGAATGCCTCTGCCGCCATCCCGGAAGAGGAAAACCCCCGAGACTGCCCGAGCCTTAACCCAACCAGACCCTGCCCCAACCCTGAAACCCACCGATGGGTTGGAGCCGGAAGCAAGAGGAAGGAAGTATGCACAACAGAAGGGGAAGGACTAGGAGGAACGGACGGAACCAGAGCCGAAGCGACTTCCACCCCCAAGTCCAGACCCCGATAACGAAAACGGGAGTCTGGGGGCATCTGGGGCCGCAACCAGCCTAGTGCGTTGCAGCAACCGATACCTAACCCCAGGTCCAGACTCATGGAATTCAATATTTATAAAGAAATGCAAAGTGCCGGTAGCACAGGCACTCAGTATAGTGTGGAGGAAGAGCTTGGACACGGGGGAGATACCAGATGCACTTAAAGTAGCAGACATAGCCCCTCTACACAAGGGAGGGAGCAAAGCATTGGCAAAAAATTATAGACCAGTTGCACTAACATCGCACATCATAAAAGTATTTGAGAGAGTGATTAGGAGTCAGGTCACCAATTTCATGGAGACCAATGACATTCACAACCCAGGCCAACATGGATTTCGAGCGGGAAGATCGTGCCTCTCACAGCTACTTGAACACTACAACAAAGTCACTGAAGCATTAGAAGAGAAACAGAATGCTGATGTGATATACACGGACTTCGCAAAGGCTTTCGATAAATGTGACCATGGCCTGATAGCACACAAAATGAAGTCAATGGGAATAACCAGTAAAGTAGGACGCTGGATACTCAGTTTTCTGTCAAACAGGACTCAGCGAGTAACTGTCAACCATATAAAATCTAGTCCAAGTGCAGTGAAAAGCTCTGTACCTCAGGGTACAGTCCTTGCACCGCTGCTTTTCCTTATTCTCATATCAGATATAGACAAAAATACAAGTCACAGCTTCGTATCATCCTTTGCAGATGACACAAAAATCAGTAAGAAAATTACCTCGGCTGAGGACATTGAAAAACTTCAAGCTGATATTAATAAAGTTTTCGACTGGGCATCAGAAAATAACATGATGTTTAACAGTGATAAATTCCAGGTACTCAGGTACGGTAAAAATGAGGACCTTAAACATAATACAGAGTACAAAACACAATCAAATGTACCCATAGTAGGAAAACAGCATGTAAAGGATTTGGGAATAATAATGTCTGACGACCTAACGTTTAAGGAGCATAACCAAGCAAATATTGCGACAGCCAGAAAACTGATAGGATGGATTACGAGAACTTTCAAATCCAGGGATCCCATCACAATGGTTGTACTCTTCAAGTCACTTGTGTTGTCCCGTCTTGAGTACTGTTCAGTACTCACTTCCCCATTCAGAGCAGGAGAGATTGCTGAAATAGAGGGAATACAGAGAACGTATACGGCACGCATAGATGCAATAAAGCACCTAAATTATTGGGATAGTCTCAAAGCCCTCCAAATGTACTCACTAGAAAGAAGACGAGAGATATCAAATAATATACACCTGGAAGATACTGGAGGGCCAAGTACCAAATCTACACAGTAAAATAACAACGTGCTGGAGTAAACGATATGGAAGAAAATGTAGAATAGAACCAGTGAAGAGCAGAGGTGCCATCTGCACAATCAGAGAACACTGTATAAACATCAGAGGTCCGCGGTTGTTCAACGTCCTCCCAGCAAGCATAAGAAATATTGCCAGAACAACCGTGGACATTTTCAAGAGGAAACTAGATTTATTCCTCCAAGGAGTGCCGGACCAACCGGGCTGTGGTGGGTATGTGGGCCTGCGGGCCGTTCCAAGCAACAGCCTGGTGGACCAAACTCTCACAAGTCAAGCCTGGCCTCGGGCCGGGCTTGGGGAGTAGAAGAACTCCCAGAACCCCATCAACCAGGTATCAACCAGGTATCAACCTAGCATGCAACACCGCAGCTGCCTGCACCCGCATATCATGATCAGTGGCGTGAGTGAACAAGAGCACATACAGACAACGACGTGTTTTGACGTCAAAAGAATGATGTCAAAAAGAATCACCGACCCAACAGGCGGCATGGCGGAGGCACAACCGGTGTCACCCTGAGACAAGGGGACAGAGCAACCTTCAAACTCGCAAAACGCAAGGGGGACTCAGGGGATCACATCCATCAGACCACGTAGCCCCCGTGGGGTTTCCCAGGGCCCTTAGCCTTGGTTACACGCTAAGGGAACCCCAGGAAGGGTACTGCGAACTGACGCCCAAGTCTACCAAACAAACTTCTAACAGCTGAATCCCTGGGACGTGTCTACTCACTGGGGTCAAGCGGGGAGTACCACCAAAATAGAAAATAAATATATATATAAAAATCCGAGAACAACAAAGGGGTACCACAAAGGCAGACCCCCTCCAGGCAAAAAACAAAAACAAAAGAAAAACCCCACAAGAGGACAACGCACCTAGGTGGAACAGAGCCGGCCGCTGTTATTGGTGAAAACTAGCTGTGCAGTATCCCGCGCCCCTACCAGTGACGAAATCTACCTCCCTACCCAGAGACAAACAAGGGCAACAAAACCCCAGCTGACTCCAAGGGCGGCCAAGTACCGAGCAGTAAAGGACACAGCGAAGGTAAATCCCAAGATGACTTGTGGAAGGTGGCCCCCAAGCCCCAAGGGCAGTACTTACAGGGCACCTAGGGAAGAGAGCCTTAGGTGCATGCAGCCCGAGTACCGTGGAATATTTCTCCTGACTCACACACCACATAGCACAGAACTGAAACAAAACCGAAACCAGAGGCACCCGACCGGCCAGTAACCACATCAGCCAAGAACTGCCGGTTGGATCGCTGGCGCAGAGGGTCAGGGGTTCCCTCTTCCCCCTTCCGGGAAGGAGGGGTTGCACAAACGGCAGCACTGTGACATGATGACGTCATGCTAGTTTGATAATTTTGTTTGGGGAGTTCTGTCCACTCGTTTGGCTTTCGGTAGCAATATTTTCATCAGAATATGGGTTTGTTTTGGGGCGCCTACCTTTCTGGGTGCCTATCTCGGTCGATGGCAGACATAGAATGCTCCCAACCACAGGGGGGGTTTCTAGAGGCCATTGCTCCTCGTGCTTCTCTGAGGGGGAAGGGGGGGGGGGGTCAGGTTCTGGCTCGTGGTCCCTGGTAGGCAAGAACTCCAAGCACTTTGACTAATGCCAGAAAGTTATATATATCCATTCAACCTGGATAGCTCTGGGGAGCTGACGGGGCTCCCCCCAAAAAAAGACAGCAGATATACAAACCTCAAGCAACTCGGAACCATTATTCACATCAGGAGCTTGAGAAAACACACACTGACCCTGACCCCATGAGGCAAATAACTGGACAACAATTAAAACAAGGTGTGAAAAGGCTGAAAAGACACACCAACCAACACTAAAATCACTATCAAATTACAGTATCAACCCAAATGAGGCTGGGATCATTTCAGACACATAGTCAAATGCTTGGAGCAGAAACATTTGACAAGTCCAATAGAGCTTAGGGCGAGGCTATAAGGAACTGCAGAAACCCTGCTGTAGCCTCAGCAGAGGCTACAGATGTTAAAACCATCGCGCGCCGGGCATGCGGCCTGCCAACTTAGAGGTCACGCCCCTGGCGTGCGGGCAAGCGTGCGGTGACACTGAAATGTGTATACCTGTTTCAGTTTTCTCACATTAATTCTCGTGCTACGCCGTTCGTTTTGGTATCATTGTGTTCGCAATAGAATTCCCTACAGGTGTATATGCATATAATGTCCAAAATCCTAGCGTGACTCCCAACAACAAAGCCTAAAGTCGGCAAAAGTTACCTGTGAGCGCACAAAGTCAGTAAAATGTGTTTACTTGTTTCAGTTTTCTCACCTTAATTCTCATGCTACGTCGTTCGTTTTGGCATCAATGTGTTCGCAATTAAACTCCCTGCAGGTGTATATGCATACATATAATGTACAAAAGCTCGGTGTGATTCCCTGCAGGAAAGTCTAAAGTTACCCGTAAACTAGCACCAATTGGCACACCACACCCTAATGTGTACTGTATACTTGTTCAATTTAATTACTGTACAGTACATCAATTTTCATGTTACGTCTTTCATTTTGGTATCAAATTGTTCGCAATATAACGGCGCATATTTTAAAACTAGTCCCATAATAATAGAGCACTAACTGGAATTTTAACAAATATTTTAATTTTATACGCACATCATCACAAAATTATGTATATCTTTCCAGTGTTTTGACAAATTTTTGTGTTACATCTTTCATTTTGGTATCAAATTGTTCGCAATGTAAAGTCGCGCATTTTAAAACTAGTCCCAAAATAATAGCACAATAAATAGAACTTTAACAAATATTTTAAAATTTTGATCAAAAATGTATTTATAATTTAAATCTTTCAAATGTTCTGACATCAGGTTTCGTGTTACATCTTTCATTTTGGTATCAAATTGTGCGCACTCTAAGGGTACTTATTTTGAAACTACTGTATGCCGAAGTCGATTGGATAAAAAATGAATTTTATACAAATATTTTTATATTGGATGTGAGCGCTGCCCACGGCTAGGGCTCGAGAGAAAAAAAATGGACGTGAGCGTCGTCCACGGCCATCGATACTGTTAAGCTGGTGTCACCAGCCAGAAAAGTGAAGTGGAAGACTAGCTGAAACCTTAGGGATCCTGGATTGCCATCTGTTGCCAGTCAGGCATATCAGGATTAGAATAGTTTATCTGGTAGCAACAATCAATTTGCATTCTTTCCTTTGTCATCCCTTATTTTTCTTCAGGTAATCTATTACAGTAATTTGTTGTGCATGTTTTCAGTTTTTTTTCAAGTTTCATCACTGATTTCTGATCTGCTGTCTTTGCTTCCGATAGGCAAAGCTTGGGTCTCGGATGCTTAGTGTTTGACTAATGCTTTGTATCCCTCCCAGAAAAGAATATTAAACATAATAACAATATGTTATTATGTTATTAATATTAAAAATATAAATAACATATATACATAACAATATTACAAAAATATATACATATCAGGTCTTCTTATAGTTACCTTTTTTCTTATGTCATCAAACATTGAAACAAGAGAGTCACGTGCCGACATAAAAGGGTTGGAGGCAGTCAGCGAGCGTATATAATAATATACGACATCCAGGGGTCGTTTCTGTTAAAATAAACAAAACTATTACAAACATTAAAATAAAACAATGAAAGTACAAACAGTAATTGACAACATTAAGATAGTCAATTAATACTGTACACTAGGAACTATCAGGCATACTAAATAACACATGAACACCCCCTGCAGACTGTCAGGTCTCCAGGTGGTGGTCATGGTCATTTCTGTAGAAGGGTAGAGTTTATTTAAAAGGGAAGGAATGTTAGGATGGAAGGTGTTTTGTAGGATTAAATACTACCTAGTTTAGGTTCATAATATTAAGCATAGATGTGCCTTTGTTCTGTAAGTACTGTATATAATTGATACACAAAACCTATACGGGTGTTTGTTTTGTTGTTGTTGCTGCTGTAGAATAAACCCTTAACACTAAAGCGTGTTTCCCTGCCTGCCAAAACGTAACATAAACACCAAACAATTATTATGGACTTACAGGTACTTCTATCTGCAATGTTTGGTACTAATTTATTGTTAGTAACCAGTTCTTTCCTAATTGCTTATCTAATGTCTGCTTCTTGTTGGTCATTTCTGTTTTTGACTTACAAACATACTTCTTTGATCATTTCCTTCTCTTTTACAACTAGCTCATGTTTTTGTATTTCTGCCATGCACTTTTCCAGTCCTTTATTAACCTCCTCTATTTGAGATGTCCATGAATTTTCCTTAGCATATCCTTGCCTAACTCCATGTTTGCACTAGTCTGTAGAGTTACTTTGAGTTGTTCACCACACAAGTTTATTTTCCCGTTAATTTCTTCAAATTCGCCCCTCTTCATTTTCCATATCTCATTTTCTTCCACTAGTTCTTTGATTTGTGCTGCCTGTGTTCTTACCTTATCTATCAAGCTGGTAATGTCCTTATTCTACTGAAAAATACTCCCTTTTAAATTACGAAAATCATTATTGAGCCCTTCATTTTCTTATTCTAATTTAATAACTTTTCCTTCATAATTCTTCATCAAGTCTTCAATAATCACTAACCTGGAGGAAAACTACCTTTAAGTTTTGTAGCCAGCCTATGGTCTGTCCAAGGGCAAACCACAGGCTGGCTAGAATTTATGACACTCACTCACAATTCCTCTACTGATTTTGTAGGCTTGTTTTTATGTACCAATTCACAGACTTCCTGATCCCTATCACCTTGTAGAAAAAAAAAAAAAATTCTTCATTCTTACTCAACATTTTGCTTCATTGAGTTTCAGTTTCTCTCTGTTTTCCTCTGAAAGATCTCATCTTAATGACCATAATTTCCCATCCTCATCACTTTGCAATTTTCTAACTTTCCTCAGTACTTCTTCTATCTGTTTAGCTCTATATAGAGTAATCTTTAAAAATCGATCTTTTCCTTTTCTGTATTTACCAATTCTTCTGTACTCAAAGACTTACTTTGGCTGTTTGGTCCACTACCTTTGGACCGGAGAAACGTTACGGGTGGAGTACCATAGGGTTCGGTTCTTGCACCAGTAATGCTCATTGTCTACATAAACAACCTACCAGAAGGAACATAGAATTATATGAACATGTTTGCCAATGATGCTAAGATACTAGGGAAGATGAGAAATTTAGACAATTACCATGCCCTTCAAGAAGACCTGGACATAAGTGTATGGAGCACTACTTGGCAAAGTGGAATTTAATGTGAATAAATGTCATGTTATGGAATGTGGAATAGGAAAAAATAGACCACACACAACCTAAAAATTATGTGAAAAGATTTAAAAATTCTGATAAAGAAAGAGATCTAGGTTGTGAATCTAGATAGAGAACTATCACCTGAGGATCACATAAAGAACATTGTGCAAGGAGCCTAGCATATTTCTAAAATATATTAATCATTAGATTATATTAATTTGTTCTTGTTGCTGGGCATCATGTGCTATTCTATGATGCCCAGAGCTTGGAAAACTAAATCAATAAATCTTGAGCAGGTTTTTAGGTCTGACTTCCCTGAGCAAAATCCAAGGAAGAAGCCAGTGTGCCAGAGCACGAATGCTCAACAATCACAAACTGAACTCTGTCATGATGCCCAATAAAGGAAAGAAAGGCATGATCATGGTTGTAAAATAAAATACAAATAAAATCCACCCATTCTACCAAGGCACAGCCTAGGGGTAACAATGAACTGTGCCTACAGCAGACTGATGAAGGAACAAATGAACATGCCCAATGCACAACTACAAATACATATAATCATTGGTGAAGCACCAGGGAAGGCCAGTGAATGAGGTGATGTCGATAAGAGCTAAACTACTACTGTATACACCAGCACCGAGCTAAAATATGAGGTCAGAGAGAAACACACACAAAGACTAATAACAAACATGTGAAGCTGATATATACTACTATCAGAGCCAGATCATAACACAAAAAACAGCCCACTGCACACAATAACAATGCTTTAAATGAAAACACAAATCCAACTAACTGTAAACAAAAAACTGGTCCCCCAGATTGCTGACAACACACTGGACAACATTTATGGATTAAATTATGTGAGCTGAATTGGGTCAGTGGACTCTTGAACAGGAAAAGTGGTAATTGGTTTAACGACTATGAGGCTTACTGGTTATTAATGAGGCCCCCCTTGTTAAGAAATCAGCAGTGTTGCCAAGCAAGGTATTGAAAGAGTTTCAATTTTTTATGGATTGACCTCTTACACTCAATTCTAGGCTGGATGGATTATTTCTCCAATGACTCCATCAGCACAATATGACCCTGAAGGTATGTTGAAAATTATCCTGAAGCATCGTGCTGTATAATGACCCCTGCCTATCTGCACAATCTGATGATGATGAATATAGTGGAATCTTACTAGAGAAAATAGACAAATGAAAGTTCTTAGTAAATACATAATTGCACAATGCATATATGGTATTGCAAAACTTCCATGGGTATTATTTGTGACCAACAATACTGTACTATTATGGGATTATCAAAGCATTTATTGAAATTTAAGACAAGCTACCCTTTGATTTCAAATGCTTATAGAATGTATGCAGGAAGCTCATGACCCACTAACATTAAGGATATTCACTGCACCAATGCACTCACTCCCACCATCCATAGCACTGTATAGATCTCTCTTTATTTTCCTACTTTCCAAAACTTTTTTAGTCATGCACTGTACCTTAAAATGCCTATGATGCTGAAGTTCTAAATTTGCCAAATTTATGTGATTATGCTTGTGAATCATATTTTAGAATAACACATACCTATAAGTAAGTCAATATGAAGGACCAACATTTTGTCATTACAGCGTAAGACTATTTTTATTGTTGATGAATTGAATGCAATATTATTTGAGTCAGACTGTGAGGCTCTAACTCATAATAAATAATTATTATGATATATAAAATACAGTAGTAACATATATTTTATAAATATGGTGAATTAATTTTTACACAATACTGTAATATAAACAGTTTTCAAAATTCACTACACATCATGGCCAATAAGCTCATTAACCTATAGACTTGAGGTTGACCTTACAAATTCTGAGTCACTATAGCATACCTTACCTGATTTACAGCAATAATTGCTAACTGGTTGAAGGGTCGACCATTCCTTGGGTGCACTTGAAGAGCCATCTGATACCACCTAAATAAAAACATCCAGTTATTTTTTAATTTCTGTACAGGGGTACAGAAATTACCCCTTTATTGTACTGCTATTGTACCCCTTTAAAACGGGTACAATAGCAGTAACATGATCTTAATTTCACAAAGAACATTTCCTACTTTTCCAATGTCTTACTAACCCTACTGTTTTTATGTGCCAATATATTTAACCAACAAAAGACTTACACTTCAAGTGTTTTCTAATTTCCCAAGTGTAAAGATTGAGAATTCTAAAAAAAAAAAAAAACCAGCGTTGAATGTAATGAAACGCCATTTTCTGGGTGAGACCCGGAGGCTCCCCGGAGCTTTACCGGCTGATATGCTAATGTCAGACTTTGGCATCAGTCATGTGTATGGAGTTCTAGGGCCTACCGGGGACCACGAGCCAGAACCTGGCCCCCTCAGAGAGGCAAGGGGAGCAATGGCCTATAGAAACCCCCGTGTGGTTGGAAGCATTCTATGTCTGCCATCGACCGGGTCAAGCATCCAGAAAGGTAAGCATTCCAAAACAAACCCCTATTCTGGTGAAAATTGCTACCTAAGCCGAACTAGTGAATAGAACTCTTCAACAGAAAACACGGAAACTAGTATGACGTCATACGTCACCGCGCCGCTGTCTGCGCAGCTCCCCCCTCCCCGGGAGGGGGAAGGGGGAGCCCCAGACCTCCCAAGCCGGCTATCCACCCATCAGTTCTGAGGCTGGATGTCAAAACACGCGAAAAACGCCGACCGGAGGGAGGGAGGGTTGCCGGGGAGCCTCCGGGTCTCACCCAGAAAATGGCGTTTCATTACATTCAACGCTGGTTTTCTGGGGGGAGCCCCGTCGGCTCCCCGGAGCTAACTACCCACAGAGGAAGGTCAAAGGGACAAAACCGGGAGGCGGACACCACGCACCCCCCAAGGAGGCGAGACAACCGGCAGCAAACGCCAACCCAAGGCGCCACAGCCCCGAAAATCCCGGGAACAACACGAGAACCACGAGCAGCAAGGCCCCTGCACGAACACCAAAAATCCATGCCCGAAAGACTGCAAGGCCACGTCGCCCAGACGGCAGCGAGAGCAGCGAAGCCACGAACGCCACAGGCATGAGGGAAGAACACAGGCAGCTTAGCCACAAGAACACGGCTGACCACCCGGGACACCATCACCTGCGAACCGGGAAGAACAGAACCGGATCAACGCAAAACGCGCTCCGGACCCAAACGCCGTGGCACGCAAACAACAGCGGAGGGCCGCCACTGAACACAAAAACGACACACCCCCGGCCCGACCAACAAAGCACCAACAAACCCTGGACCCCTCCAGAATGCAGCAGCCCCACCCCGCGCCAGAAAAGATGGAGACTGCTGCCATCAAACAACCAAAACGCTAAAACCGAAGGAGCAAGAAAACACAGCGAACCGACCCCCAGAGGCAAAGGCCCAAAGGAAAGAGCCGACGAAAAAACACACCGGAACCGAAGGGGCACTACCAACCGAGGAGAAGACAGAGCACGCTGACCAGAGACCAGGATGGTGCAAGCGGCGCACGAACAGGCCGGAGGTGAAATGACGCACAAGACAGCTGACTAACGGTGCAGAAGCAACACCAAGACCGAAAGCAAGCTGAAGCGGCTCCGCCTGCGCCGCACGAAAAGAGGCGACAGTATGTGGCAAGACGACGGCCCCCAACCCCCACTAGAAAACCAAGCCGAGAGTAAACCAAGCCAACAAGAAGGACCCACCGAAGAAGGGACAGGAAAAGGAAGGACCGCCAAAATACCCCATACTGCCGCCAAGAAGCACGCAGGTGGGACACCTACCACGAAGCCACCCGACCACCAACCGGAGGCGAGACCACGAGGCAGAACATAAGCAGCCCCGACAAGGCCCCCCCGAGCCCAGGAAAAAGGCGGAGCCGCGAGAAGATCTCGGGCGCAACCACCGAAACCCAGGCGGCACAAGGAGATGGAACGTCTGCCGAACAGAAAAACTCCGAAGCATGCAAGCCCGCCAGGAGTTCAGAAACGACGGGTCCGACGCGAGACATCGCAAGAACCCCCCCAAAAAAAAAAAAACAACAACAACAACCGGCAGGGCAAGCTAGGAAAACCAAAGAAGGCGGAAGGGTCGCCGCCAGAACAGGACCCGAACCAAGGGGCCCGAACAACTGCAACAGACCGAAACAAAGAAGCACATCACAGGACACAGGCTGACCAACGCCTAAGAACACACGCAGAACATTCCTGCTGCAGAAGAGGCAGGAAGAAAGAGCAGAAGCACAAAAAAAAAAAAAAAAAAAAAAAAAAAAAAAAAAAAAAAAAAAAAAAAAAAAAAAAAAAAAAAAAAAAAAAAAAAAAAACCAGGAGAACAACCAGGGGTGGACAATCAGGCAGGGACAAAAACCCCACGCAATCCCCAGGCACAAAACGGCAGCAAAGCGCCACTCCACAACCGGACACAGGAACAAGGACACGCCACCGTGAAACACGGTACCAATGCTCACGTGCAGCAGCAGCAGCAACAGGCACCACTGCAACATGCAACATGTAAATAGCAACTCCCCTCTGCAAAGGCAGAGAACGGAGCAGGCAGACCCCAGACAGGGCCAACGGAGACACGACAAAACCCTGCAGGCCCAGAAACCTGCACCAGGCGACCGACGGCGGAGAAACCCCGCTCGATACCTGCTGGATGAGGTACTGGGAGCTCTTTTACACCTCAAGCCCGGCCCAAGGTCAGGCCAGACCGGCCAGAGGATGGCCCACCAGGCAGCTGCTAGGAGCAGTCCACCGGCCCACATACCCCCACAACCAGGACGGGCCGGAACTGCCATACGAAAACAGGCCAGTGCGCCCTGGAAGTCCACGGACGAACCAGCAAGAAGGCTTATGCTCGCAAGTAGGTCGTGTAACAAGCACAGACCACTGATGGTAATACAGTGTTCCCCAAAAGTGCCAATAGCACCACTGCACTCCACTGGTACTATCCCGCAAGTTCTACCAGATAGGCGGGACCCAAGAGCCAGAGCTCAAATCCTGCAAGCACAGCCAGGAGCCTCACCAGGTGAGTACAGAACCAACCCTACAACCCCCACACCTCACAACATTAAAAAAGGAGGGTCCCCTGAACGACTGTAGCATGGGTTGGACATGCACATGAGGGGGACAGGAAGGGGTGATAAAGGGACAGTCACTGGTGTGCGAACGTTCTCAGTCGTACAAAATTATACCTAAATAAAGACAGGTATATGAACACCGCCGCATCCAGCGCCCGGCCAAAAGACGCCAGACCGCAGAAACTCACCTGGCGAATGGTGGCTCGAACTTGACACGACTCAACCGTGCCCAGAAGAACTTGGGAGCACCGCCAGGTGAAGACGCCAGAGCCGGACCCGCAGGAGAACAGGGAGAGGCGAAGGAGGCGGTCCACACCCATGACACAGAAAACCGCGGTGTCCTCCCCACAACTGGGAACCAGGACACCCCTGGCGCAAAGGGGCACATACCGCAGCCAGGGAGAAGAACGAGAGGCGAAGCACTGTAGCAAAAAAGGGCGCAAAACCCCAGCACTGAACCATCGCCCAGACCAAAACAAACTCCACGGCGCATGCGCATAACACGCTGGCCGAACCGCACACCCTCCCTGCGGGAAGGCGCCAGCCAGGACTATTGCACGAGAAAAAGAGCCAAAAGAGGAAGCAGGAACAAGAAAACCGGCCAAAGAAGCAAAGAGCCCAAAAAAAAAGGAACCCAAACGGGCGACAAGTAGCCCAAACGGGCGACAAGTAGCCCAAACGGCCGACAAGTAGCCCAAACGGGCGACAAGTAGCCCAACCGGGCGACAAGTAGCCCAACCGGGCGACAAGTAGCCCAACAGGGCGACAAGTAGCCCAACAGGGCGACAAGTAGCCCAACAGGGCGACAAGTACTAGGAGCCGACAGACGTTCCAATAATGCGGGAAGTAGCGAAAAACCTTCCCGTACCCTCGAGAACACAGAAGCCAACACTAGTCCCGAAGGCACACGAAGGCGCAGGCGCACCCGAGATCAAAAGTCACGCAGAACCCCATCGAACGGGGAAACATGACAAAAACACCGTCCCAAAAAGCGGGGGAGGAAACATCCACCCACAGGACGGAACCAACCGACTCAAAGGCCAAGGAACCGAGCCCGGGGAGGGGCCGACGTCCAACAGCACGTACGGCGAGTGGGGAGGAAAAACCCCACTCCGCGTAACCACAAGCCCCGCCTAGAGGGGGATAAAACCCCCCACGGGGTCTAACGGGGCCAAGGCCCCCCAAGTCAGCCCCTCCCCAGCCCCGGGAACCTACACGACAGGCCCCGGGGCCGAGCCGTTCCCCCAAAGCCCCGGCCGTACCAGAAAACCGGGGCAGCCGTGAAAACACTAAGGAAGGGAGCCCACTGGCAGACTCATACAACACGGCTGGAGGAACAGGCCCAAATGCCCCCGTCACTACCCCGGAAGGGGAATTCCCCGAGACTGCCCGAGTCTCAACACCACCAAACACCCCGCCCTGAACCTACAGACGGTAAGGAACCGGATGCAGGCAGGAAGGGTGAACCAGGGGAAAACAAGGGGGCGAAATACGAACGGGGCAGCCCCGGGGCTCCCGGGGAGGAAACCACGAGAACGTTGCCACCACCAAGGCTCAAGTGCAACGCCCCTGCTGCCCGCACCCGCTTTGTTAGCACAACTGGGTAACCGAGCCACAACGAGCAACCAAACTCGCAGGACACCGGGTCGAAGGTGTCACCGACCCCACAGGCAGCAGACGGAGGCAAAACAGAGAGTCACCCAGAGACAAAAGGTGAGAGCAACCCTCAAACTCGCTGGAAGCGAGGGGGGGGCTCTGGGGTCACATCCATCGGACCCGCGCGCCCCCAGGGGTTTCCCAGGGTCCCGAGCGTTTACTTTAAGAGGACTCGCGCTCAGGTAATCCCAGGCAGGGTACTGCTAACCGGCACCCAAGCTACCAAAC